CAAACACGCAAACGACTGATTACAACCCTGTGCTGGTACCGAACTCGTACCAAGAAGGCAAATTCACCAATGAACGCTGCCCTTTCCATCTGACACTGGGCAATCACGTGAACATCACGTTTCGGTTTTGTTTTGTTTAACTCTATCTTGGATTTGGATAGATTTTAGTACAGTCAAGGCAGTTAGAGCATATCATAATCGACCCCGCCGACATGACGGGATGATTTATGAAGCACTCGACATCTTCTATGAGCGGCGTATAAACGACCGTTTGTAAGTTCATGAACAAAGTGGCATAGAAAACTTACTGTAGACAATCTGTCCTGGTTTTTTCGTGAACATTTTCCAGGAGTATCTAGCCAAAGATGACAGCGACAATTATATTTTGATGTGGGTGACATGAATATTAAATCCTTGTAATGATGTGCATAAGCCTTGTCGGCAGGAGGCAGGCGTCAACTCGCTAACATCGCAGTGGCGCTTCCCACTGCCTCCTGCCAGTGGGGGCATGAGGGCACGCTTGTCAGAACCAGAAGTCATCTGCTACTCTACCCTTCAGGTAGAGAGTACCTGAAGGGTAGAGAATACATGGTAGGTATAATTTAATGTAAATATTTTTGATTTTCTATGAAGCTAATAAAAATATGACTCGAAGTGAAGATAATCCATTACTCCATTTCATATTGAATTTGATCGTCTGACTACCAGAGGGTTGAAGATTATCTGCGTTTATAAAAGTACATGTGAAAAAATCTAAATTATCTTTCCTATACCTATCTACTTCCGTAGTGAAAATAGTAGATGAAATTGTTGTCATAGTCATAAGAAATCATACAGTGTAGTCTATTTGAAAAACCAAAGTGGCCGCTACTTTATTGTAGTGGCGGCAACGCTGCATCGTTTACAATAGTTTACGCATGTAGATAATAATTGTTTAAGTGTTCTTTGAAAATTTCAGGTTGACCCGTTGTCTGGTTTGCTAGGTTGACCCGTCTAATTAATGCTCATCGTGAAAAGCCCTGAATAAGGGTTGGTTTTCTTCGTTTTCAACTGTTATCAGTTCTTCAAATGTATTTTTCCAACTATTGATTGATTGAATCTGAATTATTTTCATTATGAACAGTATGAATAAATTAGTGGTGAATTTTGATGAATCCCCAAAATTTGAAAAATATAAAGTTGACTAAACTTTTTTTAAATTCTAGATACAGACGCTTTGTGAAAGCCACAAAGCTGCAGATCTAGAATGGAGATGACCGTTTGGAGGGAGTTGGTTGTTTTCTGCTTGATTGGAGGTTTCCATATGTTCCTCCTTGTGGATGATTTCAGCTTGAGCCCATTTGATGTTATGTTCATGAGACCAAACATGATCTGCTATTTCGGATTTGCTGGTTTCTCCTCGCTGTCTGTGTTTCTTATGTCCCGCAATGCGAACTTTCAATAACCTCTTAGTTTCCTCGATGTATGATTTTCCGCACTCGCAGGGTATCCGGTAAATGCAAGTTTTGGAATCGCAGTCCGCGTTTGGTGGCCTGGTTTTCATGTGGCTGCTACGGATATGTTCCCAGATCTGAAACAGGTTCTGATGTTATACTTGGACCCAATCCTGCTAATCCTTTCCGAAAATCCTCTGATGTAGTAAAGTACAAGTACTGGTTGTGGAGGCTTCTTCCTGGTGGAGCTCTTGTTGTCTTTTAGCTAAAGCATGTTCTACCATCACTCTGGAGTATCCAATCCATTGAAGGTGATTTATGATGATGCCTAGTTTCTTTTCGAAACCTTACTTTGTATTACAGAGCCCGAAAGCACGGTCTAGTAGAGTCATAATGATTTCTGTCTTAGTCGATTGATGGTGGTTGGATTTCTGGGTCAGATAATGTCCTGTCCGGAATAGAAGAGCATGTTTGGACTCATCAACATAACATCAAGTAGGCTCAAGCTGAAATCATCCACAAGGAGGAACACTGGTTTAGGAGAAAATTCAAAGAAGCCGCGTACATGTTGTCCAACAACGCATTTAGAAAAGCTAGCGTAGAGATACGTGACATATGGAAACCTCTAATCAAGCGGAAACGACCAACTTCCGCCAAACGGTCACCTCCCGTTGAAACCAATGAAACGGAGAAAGGAAAGAGGGGATAGGAGAAAACACTCGAATGACCTACAGTCATATCTCGGACGAATGGGTCCAGTTATCACCCGAAGACGATTGTGGATACTAACAATCGAAACGTCTTGACGTAACTTGGTTTGGAATCTTTTAATTTCTAGTTTTATTTCTTGCTGATAATATATTTTTTTAATTTTCAACTTGTATTAACTTTTCAAATTTTTTATTTTTTTGGTTGTTGCTTGTATGTTATTTCTTTGTTATTTCAGTTTGTTGTTCAATAAAATTGATATTTATCAGTTAATCTTTTTAATTTCTTTCAGGTATTTCAATTCAATTTATACTATTAGACAATGGAAGACCGAACTGATGAAATACACCACGAAAAATTGTCAACCACCTTCAAACAATCTATTTATCTCAATAACGTTACGTTTTTCCATTTGACTATCGCTCAATCTTATGTTATTTCCGAAATGCCTATAGGATCTTTGTCAAGTTGACTCGGGTGTCACACCAATAGGTGGTTCCACTTATGTTTCACTTGCGTTTACGCAGCTATTTTCATCAAGTACTTTCTTGGTTTTTCTCACTTTGTCTTCAATCAAGAACCGCCTGCCAGGTACTGACGATTCCCAATAGGCTGAAACAGCTGTTTGAGTTCATAATGTATAAAGGAATAGAGAAAAAAAATTATTGAAATGAATTGAGAATTGAAATTAACCTAAAACTGTTTACTTTTTCAGGTCAACTCAGAAGAAAACAGAGGAAGACTTCTTGGATTCATCTAATATTCTTGACTCTTGTTCATAACCGACAAATTGTACGGAATTTCCTGATCCTTTCAATAGTCATGATTCTAGTCTTGATTACATCTTCTTTGCTCATCAAAAAATTTGTACATCAAGTTTTATATGACGATAATTTCAATGACACATTTTATGGCAACGTCCTTGGGAACCACAGTGTCTTTTATAGAAAAGACTGGGGCGGTCGACCTCCCAAAATGAACACCATGTATTTGAAACACTGTGTGCCTCTACTGATAATATCCCACAGTGATACTGAACCGTGCTTTGATATTCAAGAATGCTCAGGAAAAATTAGATATCTACAGAAGGACCACCAAATCAATATCAACACACTTGACATTGCAATGAATTTTCTCATCGGAGGAGATGGTAACATCTATGTTGGAAGAGGATGGGATATAGAAAATTATAGAAGGAAGAATAGCCTCCTTTTCAGTTTCATTGGAGATTATGTTTATGATACACTCACAGAAACCATGATTAATGCAACTCAACTGCTCATCTCTCAGGGATTACAGCTGGGAAAATTATGTCCCGATTATGAAATTGTTGGAGAAAATCAAACAACGCCAAAAAAGTATCTGAGTCCCGGTAACAATGTTTATAAAATTATAAAAACTTGGCCACATTTCACTAATAAAACTATATTTTGAAGTATAATTGAAATTTTTTTGCGAACACAAAATCATATATCAATAATTAATAAACCATTTCTATTCAATTTGATTTGTTTATGCAGTTGCATCACATAAATCTTCCATTGGATGTCTATTTCATCACTGATATATTCAGTATGTCACAAAATATTTTGTAGTACCTATACTTTGTTCCATAAATTCAAATGTAGAAATTTTGAAAAACTGTGCTTTGTTCTATTATCACACTGATCCTCGAGTGAAAATAAGTACACACTTTTCATTGATTTTAATTCTTTGTATATTTGGGAATGATCATTGTTGAGAACTTCGAAGTTCTTCAACATTTCCATTCGGTATTTCATTTCATATTCGTAGCTTGTTGATTCCCAAATATAATGAATTTTGACTTTTTTTGAAACAATATATAAACTTCGTGAATTTTTTCAATTTTTAATTCATGATGACAGTGATTTAACAAAAAAAATATATTTGTGCTGCATGAGAAAAACAGTGCCTTTTATTTGACATTTCGACTTCCTTTGGCTGGAAATTCATTCACTGGAGAATTTTGTGTTTCCCAATTGAGCGATGACAACTGTGTGAGTAACTACGGATTCCAATAATCCAATCAGAGTCCCACGATTGACCTCAAAAAAATCCCTAGCAGTGAATTTGGGACCATCATTTTGAGTTAAAGCTATTATTGTATCCAATTCATATTTCAAATTACTAGAAACGAAATCATTGTCTGCCATGGTATGACATAAGTAAATTCCCTTCGCATATTCTTCTAAAGCCAGATAACATGAAAAAATCAGAATGACCACAGAAACCTAAAAAAAAATAGTGTCAGTTAAATTGTTCACATTGAATCCTTGGTCACTTAAATTTATTTGAAGAATTCTTTTTTATTTTTGACGAAATGTCTTTCATTCATGGAGTTATGATATGATTTCTGATAATTCAGTGTAACCACCTATTTTGACAGTTACAGTGTATATACGAGTACTGTCCTCATGGGTCATACACTATTCTGCTACTACGGTATAATTGATTTTCGTTGTCAACCTTACTAAAGGCATCGCTCCGCACTCAATGAAATTGTACAACTCTATCCAATCCTTCCAGTTCAAGATATAACTTACCAAAAAATAATTGGGTTGCATTTACAAGAGATCTAAGAGAATGCTTAAGCTTGATTCATCCCGAAGCTATTAACAGGGGGCTTCTCAGCACCGTTATGAGTACTGTCAAAAAGCGAAAATCTTCAAGAGAAGTCCTAGGTATACTAATATTGGACCTGAAAAAAATTACTCTTGGCAGAAATTACTCAAAATTATCAGCAACCCCCAACTCTCGATACCTAAAGAAACAAGAGTACTTGAGCAGCCGACTGCAGACATCTAACCTATTAGAAGCACAACTATCTTAGACGAATTTTGATGTTTGTCAGCTCCTGACAAGGCAGGCGGAATGGATGCAAAAATAAAACCAAGAATCTACCATGTATTACAGACAAAACACTTAATGTCGAATCACCAAGAAAAATATGGACAAGCCTCAATAAAGTTGCGACAAATCACAGCAATCTTAACAATTGCGATTAACTTCCATGTGTGCCTGTGGTATTGCGAGTACAACATATAGGGAGGAGAGTGAAAGGCAAAACTACCTCTGGCGTGGAATAAATCCAAAAACAAGCACTTTTCCAAATCAACAGAAATGCATAACTTGTTTTACCAACCAAGTTGGCGTCTTCTGGAGATGAAGAAAACTAATTCTCAACTGTAAAACTCTTATTTATATCCGAGTATTGTTACCGGAACTTTCCGATACAAATCAATGATTTCGGGAAGATATTTTCCAGATATTTTTACATAAATGATTTGGGGAAACATTCAATAGATTGATTCATGAAAATGAGCTGTTTGGTTGAGGCCTTTGTCACTGTTGATAGTTCTACACTTTGCAATTTCTGAATTTTTGAAATCATCCAAATATCTAGTGTTTTGTTAGCTTAGGTTAGATCAAAAGTGAGTGGGTCTATTCGATTCTCCACCACAACCCGCAAGGGTTTATTGTAGCTCACACCTATTCACACTCGAACAAATAAACCCAGTTCCTTAACGAAGCTTTTTAGTTTGTATAGTGAGTGGTCTTTCACGTCAGATGGTGAGAGTACTCTAAAAACAAAGTATTTGCTCTACTGTTTCATCATTTACCAAAACAGAGCGACATAAACTGTTTTCTGACAGTCCGAGTCTCTGCATATGATGATTCAAATGAGAGTGACCTGTAAGAAGGCCTGTTAGACATCTTGGTTCATCCCTACTGTAGTCCTTCAACTGTTTGGTATCAAGCTTCGAAGGGTGAATGAACGCCTTGGAGTAAGCCAATCCTGGAAGATTTTGCCAGAAGTCCATAAATCTTCTTATCATCCAGGTGTTCAGTGTTTGTTTGGCAAAGCCCAACGCGATGCCAGTGCCAGGTTCTGGTCCAATGAAGCCGCTTGCAGCACCCTCTTTTGCAAGAGAGTCAGCAGCTTCATTGCCTTCCAGGCCAGTATGGCCAGGAATCCAGACCAGAGACAATCTGTTAAGTCTTCCTATCGAGGAGAGTCGTTTTTGGCAATATGATACCAATTTAGACGTTGCTGGGTAGGAGCCAAGAGCTTCCAACGCTACTGTCCGGGAATATTTTCATCAACTTGTGTATGAGGTTGGATTTATCCAATTTCTCCGCACACAATTCAATAGCGTGAATTTCCGCTTGGAATACAGTCGCATGAGTTCCTAGGCAGGTAGATATCTCTGTCCTGGGTTTGCGACTAAAAACACGTGCACCAGAACCTACAGGTGTTTTTGATCCATCTGTGAACCAACAACTATCTGCTCTTAATTTTTCCTTCTTCCGGAGGATCCAGGAACAGTACTTTATAAGGCAGTTCGCAGTTGACAGTTGGAGGCATAAAGTCAGTGTTATGTACCTATCATAATAATTTCATCATTTCCACACCAAAGTGTGTTGAATGATATTTTAATAATATTTTTCTCATGGGATATGTACTGCGTGTTCTTTGAAACGAGTTCTAGTGAGTCGCTCAATCTGGCCAATATATTTTTAGGTCGTTATAGCTTATTCCATATGTGTTATGATCACACGTTGAAAGGTAAGACCTCATTAATCCTTAGCTCGCACAAGTTGCGACTTCTGAGGGTTATCGTTCGTAGGCTGGTTAACGGAAAAACAGACTTTGAACAGATTTGAATTTTTCAACATCTTGAATTCCTGATTACCTAGCATTTGTTGAAGCGAGCAGGAAGTTTTGAAGACTACTTTCTTCTTGAATTTTTTGATAATACGGTATAATCCGTATAGTATCAGGAATATATATTTATATCAATGACCTGCTAAATTCAATGACAATGTTTACAATGCTATTCGCCGATGACACTCCTTTCGTCATTCGGAAAAAAAATATTGAAGAGTCATCAGAATTAGAAAAACGAGTTATTCAAGAATCTACGGACTGGTTTGATGCGAATAGCCTATGTGTGAATAAAAGCAAGACACAAACAGTTATGTTCTCGCTGTCCCATAACCTCATCAACATCACGGATGATAGGGGAGAGGACATTTTGGGTTGGGTAACCGAAAGAAGTTACCAAATCGGGAATGACTGTGAGAGTCCGGCAACTTTCTCCAGTAACCGAGGGGAAAGCTGGATCGACTTGACCATTGGTGGTAGTGTGCAGGTTGATGACTGAAAAGTGTGTATGGAGGAAACCTTGAGTGACCACCGCATGATTGAGTTCTATCTGATGGGGTTACCGAAGATGAGGAAAGTCATGGTGATGAACGTCAGAGGAGCCAACTGGAATGAGATTGAGCGATACGTATCGATTTACATACCAGGGAGGCTAGGCATGAGTGAGGAGGTCGGAAGGGAGGCTGAGAAGCTTCAGGAGAGACTGAGGAAAGCAAGCATGAGGTATATACCTAAGAAAGAAAAGATGGTCGACTCGGAGAAAGAATGGTGGAATGAGGAGTTGGAAAACTCACGTAGAAAGGTAAGAAGACTGAGAAGAGAGGCACAAGGCACGAGGGACGAGGAAGTAAGGAGGCGAAGAATGAATGAATATAGGAGTGAAAGAAATAGGTATAAAAGAATGGTAGGGAATGCTAGAATTGAGTGGCTGAAGGAGAGAGTAGACCGGATCCAGGAAGAAAATCCGTGGGACCGAGTATACCGACTCCTCAGCGACGATAGGGCTAGAGAAATACCTTCGAACGCCATGAGAGATGATGGTTCATATACAGGGAGGAAGGAAGGTACTAGCAGATTTCTGTTGAATAAGTACTTCCCCAAGGATGATCAATCGAGTGACACTTCAGTCAGGCGTCGAGTACGGAAGGAAATAGGAGGGGAGTGGGGTGAGGATCAGCCGCCTTTTTCCGTTGGGGAACTGCGGGCGGTAGCGGTGCAGCTTCTCGGCGGTAAGGCGACTGGAATAGATGGGGTCCCCAACGAAGTGATTCGAAGGGCGACAGGATGGGTTGGAGAAAGTAAATTGAAATTACTCAACGCCTGTCTGGAAAGAAGGTATTTTCCGGCGGTATGGAAGCGAACAAAGATTGTATGGGTACCAAAGAAGGACGGAAGCCCGAGACCCATGAGTTTGCAGACAGGCATGGGGCGGATGTTGGACAGGCTTCTTAACGGTAGGGTTCAAGTCTGGTGCGAAAAGGAGTTGAAATTATCTCCAAACCAATGTGGTTTTAGAGGAGGAATGGATACGGTAATGGCAGTAGAGAAAATGGTGAAAAGGATTGAAGAAAATGAGAGAGGAAGGAGACACAGTCTGGTTGTGACATTGGACCTGTCCAATGCCTTCAATACCGCTTGGGCACCGGCGATTGAGAAATGCATGAGACGAATGGGTATGCCGGAAAATGTAGGGAAGACGTGCATGAGTTTCATAGGGGAGAGAACAGTCACCTGTGGAGCGGTCTCGGACAACG